TCAGTCTAGGGCTAAGTGAATCGCTTGACGATGAACGTTACTTGTTTTTTAGCGCGTTTGGTATTGACATCGTGACTTCATATATGATTGTTTTCTATTGATGGTATGTGATTGCACAACCCTAATGAAACACGAGAGTAAGTAAACAAATATGCTTGCTTTTGTTTTCGTCAACTGTCTTTTTTTCTGTCACATGTGACGCTTTTTTATACACTATGACGCAGTTATTTTCTACACTTTAGTCTGTTGTGACTACATAAATGAACTTACTTTAATTCAAAATTCAGTGAAAAATTCGTGTTGTTCTAAATATATCATAAAATTGGAACTTTACTCGTATATATTTTTTTCAAATTAGTTTTGATGTAAGCTGAATGAAACATGTAATTTTGTACTAATTAGCTAATGAATCTATAGAGATGTTAAATCAGATTCAAATGCGTTATTTTCATCTTATTTCTCTATGAAAACATAATCAGTGATTTCTTGAAAGGAAACCAAAATCTACAGATGAATCGGATTCCAATAGTTATTTTTTTCTGATGGATGTAGATAGAAAGATATGCTTATTTTCATAGGCAAAATCGTATCGAAGCATGTTATATAGGATATTTTCCAGAAAGGAAAAACAAAAATCGCTATGAAACCTTCTGCATACATAGAATATTAAAAAAAAATGAATCAACGAAAATAAGTATGTTTTACTGGAATAAATATGTATATACAGAATAAGAATATATAGGTTAGCTAAGCTAAATAATTTAAAGAATAAAATAAAATACTTTCAGAGAGAAAAAAAACAAAAATGAATAATTAAATACTGTTCAATGTCTCTTGTCTTGGAATGTATGTTTGCTATTACTTTATTGAATTATCAATTTTTGATGGAATGTTATGTTTCGTTCACGTCAAAACATCTTTAACTACAGAATTACCATTTGAATCTCCAGTTTCAGTAGCTAATATGTTTGCCTCATAATTCACAGATGCTTGTTGTTGCTGTTCACACTTCGAAGCTGCATCATCTTGAGTACTTGTTCCATTATAGATTGTTACCGAATCAAGTACAGCTGATTCTACAAAAATAAAACAATAAACGATTAAATCGTACCATATCTGCTGTTTGCCGTAGGTTTATGAAAGATTTTTTATTTAAAATAATAAAAATATTGATGTACGATCAATGCTGTTTGACTTACTTCCTTTTTCTTCATCATCATTGTCATTATTCAATTGATCTATTAAAGGAACAAAAACATGAAGTTGATTAATATTTGATGGCCGAAATAAAAACATGATAACAAGAAGAATAAATAAACCAAGTAGATGCCAAAATGCGTCGAAAAACTAAATATAATCATATGTATTAAATAAGAGAAGAGAAAAACAACATTTATTACCCAAAAAACTCTCCAATTCGTAATACATCTAGTGAAAAAATCGAATTTGAATGTCCAAATCATAAATAAAAAACTTGCAATAATAACATATATTATTGCATCTATAAAATGTTGATAAATATTTAATTGAATAATATTTTCTCTTAAACGTAATATTTTTGTTGTTACAGCTAAACCTTTAATTATCCAATAATAAGTAGTCAAATCAACAAAGAATAACAAAAAACCCGATAATAATAATTTATAATTGATTGCGCCATTTTCTGTGTTCAAATAAAGTATTGTTGTTGTCGTAACACTTATAAAATAAAGTACACTCATAGCAAGTAATTTTGTTTTTAATCGTTCTAAACTCGGTTTAACTATTCCATAATCAATTGCAACAATGATAACAAGCATACGTAATATAGTACATCTCAAACATAAAACAATTTGAGTTGTGAAAACAGCAAACTGAGTATTATATCTATAGAAATTGAAAAACTTATATTTTAAATTATTTAATTTTTTTTTTCATTACTTACCCATATTTATCAACAGCATTGTATTGAAGAAAAAATGCTAGATGTTCAATCATACTAACAAGAATGACGCCTCCAATAAAAAAATGTATTTCAAGTAAGTCTTCCCAACACAAAGCACACAAAATAAACCATAGAATAGTACCAAAAGCATAGACATGAAACATTAAACCGTAAAAAACGAATGTTGGATATTCATCGGCAGTTATATAACCACCATGACGATTTTTCATAGATACAACTACATCAACATTAAGTTGAGGAGTATTTGAATCAATAATAACTGGTCGAGAAAGTTCAATATAATAACACCCATCAGCCCATGTTCGTAATTGATTTATTGTTTGTTTCTTTAAAACAGATGCAATTGGTATTTTTTTATGATTTAATTTGATTTTCATTTCTTTAGCAACAGACTGAAGACGATTACTATCGTCTAAACATTAAATTTAGATCTTAATAAATAATAAATATTTCATTTTACTTTGATTGACAGTGATCTCTTCAAAATCTCGATTTAAAAATTTTTGTCTTAATTCTGCGGCTTTTTCTCGTGAGATTTCTGGTCCAGTTATATTCGAATTTTCATCAATAAGCAATTCTCCGGCGTACTCACATTCAACTTCTACTGTCTTAAAAGTTTTTTGTTCCATTTGTTTCCATAAAATATCATTATAATAATAAGTTGTCCAAAGAAATTGTAAGGATTCATTTTCTTCTGATGATGATGTATTCGGAAAGATAGATGCATCATATTGTGTTGGTATACATCCAACAATGCGACCGATTCGACCGTTGATTTGAACCTTTGTTTTTTCATATTCATTTTTTAAATCTTTTTTAATTTGTCCTTGAATTTCATTTGAATTAACATATAATTCATGACAAATAATTTTTAATTGAATTTGTGTATCACGAGTTAAAAACCGCTGTATCTTTACACTTGATATTATATAAGATGGCCAAGAAAATGTCTCTATTCCATTCACAAGAGCAGCTGATGAGTATTTCATCAAACAGACGAAGAATACGTTGATGAGAAAATATTTCGTCATTACCATTAATTTGAAAAACGTAATTTCAAGATTAATCTTGCTTTCTTTTGTTTTACATTATGTGTTACTTTTCTTTTCGGATGAATGATTTCGAAAGAGTATTACATGAGTAATTGCTAGTCGTTTGCTATTGAAGTATAATAAACATATAAAAACGATCGACTGTTTAGTAATGTTCATACCAGAAAAGCAAAATCTTATTCGATTCTGCTCTAAACACTAACCGTTACTCTAGAACAATTTATATGAAGGTCACTGTTTTGAATTTGATTAGTGGATTTTAAATCACCAATAGCAAGCGGGGATGAAATAGCTGCATTTATACTATTTATTTTCTTTACATTTCTATTTCAACTTTCTACACAGTTTTTGGAAATCAGTTTTTTACTTTCGATATTATCTTGAAGAATGTACAGTACGACAGCCGTAAACTACGTAGGATATCTTAAACCAGCATAGGAGTATTTTCTGCTTCCATTCTCTATGAAGTCGGTTTCAACTGAGTAAACATAGCTCCCAACTAATATGTGGATGTGAATTACGTAAAGGCATCTATTCGTGTCCATGCCACAAAAGGAAAACAGTGAACTCCAGGACGTCGAGGAACTCCACTCTTCTCTGGAGTCCTGAAGTTCATGCTATTGTAAAATCTGCTACTTTCCACAATCAGCTACTAAGAACAAAGAACAAATATGATGTCAGTGGAAAAAACACGTTGAATTTTGCAAAGACTATGCAAAACTTATTTCATAATCGTTTGCTCAAAGAAAAAAAGAGTTTTTTTTTGTCACTTTCGGCATCTTGTGCCACTGCTTAATAATGATCGAGAAAATGTAAAAAAGAAATTTTAAAATTCAAAATAAATATGAAAACAATTAATTATTTAACCGATGAAACATGTAAGAAAACAATAAGTGAAGTGCTGAATTGAAAAAACATCCATTTGATTAACAAAACGTTTTTAAATGAGATACGATGAAATAAATAATACGAGAACTATAAACAAGACAATGTTCTGCATGCAAACCTTACTTTCATTTCGTTCTTTTTACTGCTTCTCTCTTATTATATGAAGATTCTATTGAGTAAAACTTCCTTTTTACCATTTTCTTTTTGAGTTTTTTATGATGATGATAATGAAATAAGAGATGATCTCAACATGGATGATGACAGTAATGATGGTTTTCTCTCTAACGACGATTAGACTGATGAAGACGTACAAGAGAACATTCGAGATTTAATAAACACCACAAAAAAAGACTTCTTTCAAGCAAAAGTGTTCGATACGATGGAACCTCACATAGAACACAATTATTGTAAAGTTGCGTGTAGGTCTACTATTTATCTCCATTCACACCCACACCTACCCCACATCCTGGTCTGCAAGACTGATTCCATCTATTACATGCAATAAAGTTAACATTTGTCAAATTATTCATTTATCAACTTAGAGTCAGTTCGAAGAAAAAATTTAAAATTACCCATGAAAGAAAATACGAGGAAGTTGCTTTTTTGTTACTAAAAAATGAGGAACTTGAATACAACATGACATATAGACAGCGATCATGTGGAAGGAGCTCGATGTTTTATATCTTCTGGCCGCTCTCGATACATCCTCACTGTCTTTGTTTAACAGAAGTCGAATGACTAAAATAGTAATGTATGTAAGGTTTCGACAATTGCTTTCTTGTTTTTCTTTCAATTAAACTTTCACAAAAGTTGAAAATGTCTTTCTCAAAAAATTACTGTACTTTATTTCGGACATCGCTCGCGTCTGATGCATGGACTACCAAGGCTATTGTTTCGTCGAACGTACTTGGAATCGCTACAGAAACAGCCGGCGACACACTGCTCGGTGCATATTTGAGGCTTGTAGTCACAAGTTTCAACACACGCCGAGCCACAAGTGTTGAATTTTTCGTACACGCCACAGAGATGAGTAACATCCTCTCTTTTGCAGGCTTCTCGTTTGATGCAAGGACTTCCAGGTGTGCGAGACAAACGAACGTATCCCGTCTTACAAAAGCAGCCACTTCTGCATGCCATGGTACAGGATTCAGTTTTGGAGGCACAAGTTTCGATACAAGGCGGACCGCAACTCTCGTACTCCTCGTTCATGCCACACAGCGATACTACACAGTAAAAAACTGGTCAATTCATAATATTTGATCTTCAAAGTTATATTACTTTGCCCTTCAACAGTCATCAACAATAATGATAAGAGACAAGCATATAGAATGGACATCATGATTTGCTTTTGGTAAATGAAGTAATGAATAAAAAAATACTTTTATTCTTCGTATAGCAATGGGTTTGTGATATATATATATCTGCTTTTGCAAGGCCAAAATAACAAGACTCAAGAATGAAAGCCTTGATGATCGATTATTCAGTAGAAAGAAAGAAAAACAAAATATGCTGGGAATACGCATATGGTGCGTATGGATCAAGGCCACAAGGTTAAATAAAAATCCAAAATTCAACTCAGAATGATGCCTTGTATTCATTGTGCGCCATTTTTTATGTTAAAAGGCAGCGCCACATTTGTCCGTAGAACTTACAAAATAGTGGAAAAAGCAGTCTCTTTTGAGATTTCATACGCAGTTTTCGATATTTTTTTTCTAACTCTGCTAACATCTATGGGACTCAGATTGAATCATGGAATTCTGGTTTTCCTTTATCAGTGTAGTTCCTAAAGAAAACTTGAAAAGCATAATATTGATACCTTTTGAACTAAACTGTTCACTCAAGATGAGACTAATCTTACTACTTTTTGAGAACTGACCCACTGAGGATGCCAAAGAAGAAAACGTTAGTTCCACTTCTCTATCTAAGGATGTGGTGATGATTCTTGGTGAATAAAAAAAGATTTCCTAGAAATATTCACTATATTGAAAATATTGTCGATATATAATGCAATTTGATTTTCAAAATAGTCCTTTTTGTAACAGATCATTTTCAAATGTGACGTTAATTTACTTTTCTATCTGAACAAAATAGCTGCAAAAACATGTGGAGCTCCAATAGGATATTTTTTTTTAAAAGTTGAAAATTTTTACTCATTTGTTGTTTGGCATAGAATCCAAAAGAAAATATAAATCTGTGAAAAGTGATCATTTTGAAGTATGAACAAAGCAACGATGAAAAATACTCAATATGGATGTTAGTGTTGCTACAGAGAACACCCACAAACACACTCCAAAACTGAATTCTTTTTATTGCAATTCGTTTTGTAATAAATAATTTTATTACGATCACAAATAATGCTCGTACGATTCAAAAAAAATCGAAAACTCTTAGGTGAAATGAAGTTTTTCTACTGCTTTGATTTATCCCTCACTGGGCATGGCCAGCTAACTCTGCTACCGGAGTGAAATTCCGTAACGTTTTTCGCTTATTTTGTTTCCTCGATAAATATCAGGCAGTAGCACGTAAAGAGTTGCGAGACGTCTTAAATTAAAGAGAAAAGTCTTGTACATATTCTAAGATATTTTTCGCTTTTGGAACGTTTGTCGTTTCCAAGATATAATTAAAAAACTGATAACTACTTTTCAATTCTGAAAATTATTACTTTTTCAAAAGTGGTGTTCAATTCTTTTGTTATATCTTGGAAACGACAAATGTTCCAAAAGCGAAAAATATCTTAAAATATGTACAAGACTTTTCTCTTTAATTTAAGACGTCTCGCAACTCTTCCCCTGCTACTGCCTGATATTTATCGAGAAAACAAAATAAGCGAAAAACGTTACGGAATTTCACTCCGGTAGCAGAGCTAGCTGGCCATACCCCACTATCATTTAAAATTACAATTTAAATATTATTTTTCATAGATATGAGTAGATAGGACACCATTCAATCTGTCGTCGTCTTATCAATAGAACGTTATGTCTACTATTCTTGTACCTTATTTGCAGGTATTTCATTTAGTTTTAATACATATACAGGGTGATTCAAAATAGTAAATAATGTATACCAATTTGTTCATTTCATGATAAAAAGATTATTGATAATTAGCACATAGTAACATTAATTATGTCAAATAGAACAAGATTCGCAACACGATCCATATATGTGTTGGTATCCAATTATGCAGCTTTTAATATCATTCGAACAAAATTATCAACGCAAAAAGATTCATGCAAACATTAACTAATATAAGCACAACAGGGTAAATATCTTTTTCAAGTTAAACTTTGTTTGTCATTTGCAATCTTATTTATGATATTCTTTTCGATTAGTATTCGTGAATGTGGTCTATGATAATCAACGAATCTGTTAGGATAATAAACTATTACTTGACATAGTTATAAAAATTGAAAAATGATTTAGAAACAAATCTGATCTACATTTATTTTTCATGTAAGAGATAAAGAAATAACAAGAAGATGTGTATTGAACAAATGAAAACAAACGTACTATACCAAATATTGATCTATATTTTTAATATAACGTTTTTTAAGAGCATCTTTTGATGAATAAAAGCGTAAACTGGTATATTTTCAGCATGTGCTATTGAAAATACCAACCAAGAACACAAACAGGTGAAAACTCCACAATATCGATAGATACTTAATCGATCCTAAAATTGAATAGAAAAATATAAAGAAAAATGTTCTTTTCATTTTCATATCGAATATTCTTATATAAAATATTCAATCTGTTATAAATTCAATGTTAAAAGAGTTTTGACAAATTTTCAAACTGTTGAACTATTGTTTGCTTTTACACATGAATCGAGATAGCTCAACTGAAATACATATATATAATCATTATTGAAAATTGAACTTTTGATTGAGATTAGTTTGGAATCTTTGCATCCGATATTGTCTTTCTTGTTAATTAATACTTACAAAAAATAATGTTTTTTCACCGATATTAGCAAAAAAGTAATACCCTAATTCAACAATAATAACGAACCATATTAAAAACATGATGCTAATAATAATAAATTCAATGTTATCTTTCTTTTGCCACCATTTGTATGAGTTTCTTCCTGAAAATTTCACATGAAAACTATGGATTATTAAAGATGAACTTTTATATATTATATTTACCTGCATCATAATAATATTTTGTGCAGGCAAGAACAATACATTCAGTAGCAAGCGCAAGTACACAACCAATATTGAAGACTAGTACAAATATAATGCCCAAACTAATGAATAGTATTATTAAGCAAAGTATGCATTGATAACGATAAAGAAAAGTCTAAATATAATAGATTAAGATCTTGATTTCCACTATACGTCATACTTACATCACTGGATGTATTAATCAGATATTGCTCGCACATCACTATCAATTCACAACAGACAACATTAATAATGATAGTGAGACAAATGTATCCAAAAAGTTCAATTGTATCACTCAATTCTGATCTTGGATAAAGTAATCGAATAAACGAGTGCTCCTAGAATACAAATAATAATAGAGTAAGAGTTATAAAAATGAAATTTAATTTATTTTTTTCATTTTGCTAAATTGTCAAGTTTCTCCTAGAACTCAGTAACATCTTTCATTGTTATATTTAAAAACCTGTTTGTTTGATTGCGTTTGTTGTTGATTAACATAAGACGTGTTGTTTTGATTTGCATTTTTTGTTGCAACATGATTCATCTCTGGAGTAGTTACAGTAGTCATTTGCAATATGTTTTAAGTCATATGTAGCAAGATGGGTGATATGTGCTCGTATTTATATGTAAATGAACAACAATGTGACAAAGACCGCTAATAGTTAGACGTATCGATGAATCATTTTCTTCCTATGAAACAAAATCTACTGGACGAAAAAATCTGACAGAAAATACACTGCATATATATTGACCTTGTCTAATAATAAATCGTCTTGGTTTCAATCGTATGACATAGTCCTATTGTCTTTTCACGATTATTTTGCTTCATCTTATCCGTCGCTATGCCAATTGAATGAAAGATGTTTAATTATATTGATCTATTCTGATAATTCACAAGCAATTATTCATATTCTCAAATGTTTAGTTAGAAACGTTCCTATAATTGAAGGTTATTTGAAAGAAGTGTGATCGATCCGTAAAAAATGATGAATCAAAAGTGAATGATGGTGGATCAATTATACTATGTAAATTTATCTGATATGAATGTTTTATTCAATATATAATATTGATCGATTTGAATTAACTACTGGTATCAATATTATATATGAGATAAAACTTATCTGACAAAAATTAAATGTAAACTATAATATTAAACTTCGGTAGATGACGTCTAATATTACATAAACAAAATGCATCGGATATCAAAAACTTTTCTGACAAGTTTCCTATACTCGTTCTCTATAGCTTTATAATGATAGTAAAAGATGAGAGATTACACAGCAAGTGATACTTTATATTTTCATGAATACCTCAATAAAATATGTGAAATCAACGTAGAAAACGGCATAAAGTTATATATTCGTACAAGTGTTTAACGATAGTAACATCTTCAACTATAACCATTCAATAACAACTTCTATAAAAAATGAAAATATTTTTTTTAAATAGGAAACGATGATATTCTTAGATTGTGAATCCCATGAAATTATAGTTGGAATTTCAAAAGTACAATGGAAATCTCTGAAAATCCTAAGTTCAAAGAATTAGAAAATACTATGCTTGTGATAAGATGGGTGTGAGTGTGGATTTGAGGAAGATTCTCATCCTCGATTCAGCTGATTAAATTAATCGATGCTGAGCTTGATTGTTCTTGCTGTATTTGAGTTTTTTCTTCAGCAAAATGATGTATCGATTTGAATAAAAAGGTTCTCACATACAATATGACATCATCTAGAGGGTCATATATATTTTATAATGTTGTGAATTTTGAGACAAAATTTTCTGTTTATTTCAGTTTTTAATCAAAAACCGACCTTTTCGTTGATACCTTGCACTAGCTTTTGTGATTTATTTTTTTTGTCTTAAAAAAATTTTATAGATATCAATTCGATACAACTTTTTTGTTTCATAGTTTCCCAGAGAAGCATAAGATGACAGAGGACGCTCAACATGACTACTCTTCAATGTGTATAAACATAGACTAGTCCAGAATGTGGTCACAACTTGTCATGACTAATTCATTTTGTCTACTCATACAGCCCATACTCGTTAGTAAAACAAAAAGCCCGGAATGATAAATGACGATACGTGCTATTCGACCATTGAATTCGGCAATACTGAATGCCTGACTAGTCTCCACTGATTTCAATAGTGATATAGACTAATATGAAACGTCATTTGTATTACTCATGACTAGTTTGTTTTTGAGAAAATAGTGTCAAGTCTGATTCAGACTAGTCTAAACTCTGCAACTGATTCTTTTGCTTAGACTTTACTTTTCAGACAACTCGTTTAGACTGGTTCGTATTGAAAACCAGAAAAGTGTGTAACATCGTGCAGAAAATTTTCAAGCACTAGAATTATTTCTTACAATATCTGATTGAGAATTAGATGCCTTTATCATACAAATCAGATAGGAAAATATTAATCATCTTGTTCTAATTTTGATAAAAAAAGTTTGTCAGAATGGTGTGTGGGTATGGATCACGTATTTTCTTCATTCACAACAATACCAACACTGGCACCCGGACACCAGATGTGTATTTTAGGACTAAGTCTGGTTGTTCTCAACAAACTTCGTCGTTGAAAGATAATAAATTATAACAAAAAAAGAGGAACGATAAGGGAAAGATAAGAGAGAGAAAATGTTGTTATCTTCCAAAAGTCAGTAACGAATCATTCGACAAACAAAGCCAGCGATACCACATACACAATACAAATTAAAACTGACAGCAAGAAGTCGCTGTAGTATTGAGGACTGCTTCATTTGGAAAAACTTCATTGTGGTAAGTAACTTGTTACGATCTTGGAAAAAGCAACAAACAAATATTTTATTAGCCATATACACAGGACAGCTATGTTCGAAACATCAGAAAGGAGGAGAATAGATATGAAATAAAATCCAATGAGCTAGTTTTTCTAGAAAAGTAATTGATGAATCTTTGTAAGTCTCAATTCTATGATGTTGTCTATAGTTTATATTATTATTTTGTCTAATTCTATTCGTCACCATGACTTATTCAAAAGGCTACGATCGAATTTTTAGTAGTTCATAACAAAAAATTTTGGTAAGCAAGTGTACAAAACGATATATATACATAAAATGGACAGAATGCTTATAAGTTTTAAACTTTTTCGAATTCAAAAGTTGATAATTCAAATTAGGAGTGTTGCATTGATTTGGCACTAGCATTTAATGTGACAACTAATGGTTCAGCATTATTAACAATAGACTTACTTTAATGCCAAGACTTCAGCATTAATTGAACACTATTTTTAATTCTAATGTATGTACTGTGTAAGTTGTAAAGGACTACCGGAATACTAGACGAATAACTTTTCAACGAGTTCTGTGATGTTTTATTATTAGATTTATATTTGAAGAATCGGCCAATGCTTCGATCAATACTTTGACCTGCATTACAGTATTGATTGATGCATCGATCAGTTCCTCATGTATATATCAAACGATTCTTGCTACATCAATGTTAATCAGAGTAGAGCGATACATCTACGTTGACATTTAGTACATTGACTTCCAATAGATGAATCTTGATAGCTAGATAAAATAGATAACTAAATTCAGCTGCAGTTGCATCTAAACTTTTTGGGAGTGTACTTTTGTTTGGACAATACAATGATTACAAATGATATCTAATCTGTGCTGATCATTACGCAATCATTCTTATGTGTCATTCTTATGTAGCCTTATTAAATACAAACAGTCATACCATTCATCTGTTTGTTTGTTAGCTGCAGGATTTATATAAACAAAACAAATTTACAAAGTTTCTTTTTTCCTTTGTTGTAAGAATATATCAAAGAAAATACTGTGCAGAAGATTCCGTCATATTTGCAAGTGTATCGTGTAAATCCATCTAACTAAAAAAGAATATTTTCATCTAGTTAGTTTGATGTATGTAGTACTAGCCGATGCATTTGATGCTGAAGTACATATATCGTCTATTGTGAATAATACCAGTGCACCAAGAATCGCAATGCATTACGCGACACATACATTAAGAATCAGTTGACACATCAACGAATGTATCGACTTGCATTAATGCATCAAGTGATTCTTTATGTATCCATTAGGCAATGTATTTAGATTCTTGATGCATTAATACTATTTAAAGTAGGATCTTCTTTGATATCTAATGCATACCGACTTGAACTAGATATATCTGATGAACTGATACAGCTGTAGGCGCATTGCTTCATATGTCTGCAGTCACATTTAGATTGTTTTTGCTGGAGTACTTTTACTATGCGCAATGTTGTTGTTAAGCAAGAAACGAATCATTTTTGAGCATCATTAAGCATGATCATTCATGATTTCAGTATGTTTCTGCACTTAGGTTTGAAACAAAAAAAAACTTGTATTAACATATTCTTATTTTGTTTCATGTTTTTCATTCAATAGTAATCAAAATGCGTTTATTAACAACAATATTATTTATAATTATATTTTTTTTTAATGTTTTGCTCAACAATAATAGAAACAACAAAATGTAGTTGTTCATGCTGTTTTGGTAATTCTTGTAAACCAGAATCATTACCATCATTAGATGTTGATAGATGTTCTATGTGTAATAGAGAATGTATTACGGCTTATCCAGCAAAATGTGGACTAACTTCCGGTGCAACAGTTTCATCATGTGGTATTGGAATTTCTATTGGTGTAATTGTTGGTATTGTAGTTGGAATAATTGCGATAATTGTTATTGTAATTCTGATACTTCTACTTTGTAGACGTCGTTTAAGCTATAGATAAAGATTCGTTGAAACAGAAACAGACATAATGTAAACATAAAAAATATAAATTTGTTTGATCCCGAACATTTACAAAACTCTATTATGGTTATTTTATTTTTACTATTCTTTACAAAACTAATCTTTTTTCCATGTTAAACTACTAATGATATATCCGGATTCAAATTTTTGTTTCCGCATTACCTATTTTTTTATTTACTAAATTATATATTCATTGCATTTAAATCAAAAATCTCTTTTTCATATTGATAGATGATCTAATTTGTGCAAACGATTAAAATAGAAAAAGAACTTATATAATTTCGAATATAGTCAGAGATTACTCCAACACGAAAAGAAACCACCAACCATGCGGTTATTGGCGGTCATAAGTAGTGGTTTTCGGCGACTGAATTTTACATAAAAAAATTGTAGAAAATCGTCTAAAAAAAGCGACGAAATCGGTACGTTCAAAACTGTTTGAATCACCTGAGTTTGTGTCAAAATAGCCGTTTTGATTATTCAAAACCGTCATTCCTCGTACAAAAAAAACTCTTGTTAGTAAAACTAAACTGCCTAGAATGGTCGTTTTGTTTGATGAAAAGGTCAACCTGAACCTCTATTTTTTGTCCAAAAACCCGCTGATTTAGTCAGAAGACTTCCTAGAGCCGCCATTTGATACCACATAGAATTGCGGCTTTTTGATGATAAAAAATCGATTAGGTGTCATTTTTTGGTAAAACTACAGATTCAGTAATTACTGATAAGAGTATGAATGTGGGTGTAAGCTTTAGTAAAAACAACACCTACACCACACACTCTGAAGTACTATGGAAACATGTTGCATCATTGTTAAAATTATTTGTTAGCATTGCGGGTAACTCTTTTGTAATGCAGAGATCTAATAAAGAAGGCAAATGAGTTCTTTTTTTGTCTAAAAGAAATTATTCAGCATAATCTACATGTATTGCAGCCAAAGCGAGACGAATAAGATGAGGAAATATAATTAATATGGAAGAATGTTGCTTACGTTTCTGTGGTTAAACATAATATATATTTAATTATTGAAGAAAAGAAACGTAATGAGAGGTAAGTTGAAAAAATTGATCTTCAAAAGGACGTGTGTCAATCATTGTAAGGCATCGGACTTTGTCAAGTAAGCCATCTTGAAAATGAAAAGGGTTGTTGAGACTGAAAAATTTTCGAATAGGTGTGGAAGTGAATAGGTATATGAAATAACTTGTTCATATTCTCTTCCAATCAAGGTATTTTGAATATCTTCATTTCATGAAAAACCAATTCTAATATTTTCAATGATAGCAGCTGTATTTATACTGACAATAAAGTTGTTTCATCATGATATATGAATAAGAGTATCATCAGTATAAGTCGAGTCAACTCTGATTACTGCCATAATTAGTATCAATTCTTCAAGATTTATCATTCGATGAAGTAATGGAATGAGTCTATCGTCATCATGATCTTCATAATCATTCAAAATCAATGAGAAGCATTTCCATTTAGGACGTTTTTTCTATAAAAACAAAAATAGCATTAACGATGTCTTTTTTATTGAAAACACAATTATTGAAATTATACTCACTCTCTCATTTATATCTGATTGTTTAAATGACATGTCTTTCACATTGATAATTAACTTCAATTAGGAGTCAAGACAATAGAGGCAATCAGCAAAATTTGCAATATGAATTTTCAATAGCGTTAAACTTAAAGATATACAACTTGTTCGTGGTAGTTTACAAAGAGAAATCAACATCTTACGATATGAAAACAATTGACAAAAATTCAAATGAATTAATCATTTAGTTAAAGATAAAATTTTAGATAATGGTGATGGTGTCTCATTTTCAATATCGATGTTCAGATTATTTGATTTATTGAATAAGAAGATGATGAAGAATTGAACGATCTTCAGTATTAAAAAACAAAAATGAAGTTTAATTTATATTTTATTATATTAAAACAAACAAAATTAACTTTTAATAATATACCTGTTAAATATTGAAAAAATATTTCTTCTTGAAAATGAGCAAGTGATAACGAGTAAAGTTGAGGATAATGAGAGTAAGCAGAATACGTCTCATTAACTTTTATTCAAGATGAGTTTATTTACATGTTTATGAGAGTGTGGATGTGGACATGAATGAACGGAAAATCGACAACCACACCCTAATGTTTGAAGAGTACTATTCTGATGAGTAACAGAATTTGTCAAATATTCAAATAACTTGATCGCTGATTTTATTTTCATCGAGTCTTAATAAACTCAATCAAATATTTTGATTTAGCATTTCATCTAGATATTGTGCACCTTGATGCATTTTATCATTGCTGACAAGACTCAGCAGTCAAATAAATACTCTTGTCAGATATATGATTGTTATAAAATCATAATATTGCTAATGTTGTATTCTGAACGAATGTTATGGCAATAAAATTCATGAACTTGTAGTGTAGTTTTATTTGATGATAAAAAAATACTTTTACATTGTTTTTTTTACAAAGATTTCCATGGAACAGTAAATGAAATTCTGATTTTTTTTCAAATTTATTTTTGATAAAGGTCAAGATGGGTCGATTCATTGTTTGAATTGAATTTTTCATCATAAATTATAATCCGCAATAAAAACATTCAAGAAAAGATGATTTTAATTATAAAAATATTTTGAAGTTTGTTTTTTTACATTCGGCAATATAATCAAATCTTATGTATGAAACACGATCCGAAACGAGTGTTGAAGTCTATAGGGGTAGCAATTTAGACCTATCTCTCCTCTTCACACACATTACAGACATTTTAGCAACCATTCATCATAGAGTATGACAAATATATCCGAGAAATGAAAGCTCACTACGGCCTCAGCATGACAGTTGTTCTTTACATAGTAATTAGTCTTCACTTTTATAGAACCAGTATCACCGCTGTGTTTCACAATATTAATCCCGCAGGAATTGCATTAGCAGCTTCTAATATATATGTCTGAATAATTAACAGATACTTCACCTTCAAGTTTCACCGATAGCAACATTGCATGTAACTTTAACCGAACAGGACACAACAGGAAGAGAAAAGGCATGTTTTTTTTGCTTCTATCCTCAGATATAGCAGAGACTACGTCAATAATCTTCGATTCTATGACTCATAATAGTAACTAGGGTACCAAATTTGTCTATTGACTTGATTATATAATCTACAAAAAGAATAGAAAAATCCTAGTAGGCATGTATTCTAGAACAAACTATGTCATATTGAACCTCCTTTAAATCATATTCATCATTATTATTACTCATTTTATTGATAAAAATACTCTGAAAATAAGCAATAGGTTCTATTAATTACACAACACAACGATGATCATGAAACTATAACTCTTGCTGTTAATGGTGGACCAACTACGTGACGCGATAATGTCAATACTTGAGGTCCAACTGCGCGTGTTTGCTGTCGGCTATATGGGATTATTTTGTGAATATGTCTTCTAAGTTCAGGCATTGATATAGCACATACAAAAGGTAGTAAAAGATGGCCATAATATTCACAGAATTCTGCATACAACATAAAATCGGCACCAACTTCTTCAGTAATGCCACAAAGATGAATAAACTCCAATAACATATTTGGCATGTATATAACAAGATACAGAGCTGAAATTGCTAACATTTGAATCGTCATCTTTCGATGATTTCGCCAACGAATTTGTCGATGCATTCGAAATTTTTGATAGACGACACGTAAAAGAAGAGTAATGCTGCAGCAAATAATAATTATTGTAGGTATTATATCATTAAGTATAACATCCCACATTGCTGCTGATACAAATTCATAATAACACAGAGGATCACCACATGTAAGTTGAGAATAATCATATGTATTTTCACATGGCGGAAAAATTATTACAATAGTATTGTAACAGATGCAATAAAGAAGGATTATGACTACTGGTAAATAGTGAAAAAAAAATAATTTATATTTTGTTGATAATAAGTGATCATGAAAGATGAGAAGATGTCGTTCAATAGTTGCCCAAGAAAATAGAATTGTTGTTGTAATATATAAAGCTTCATCAATAAAAGACCATGTAAGACAAAAGATAGAGTTTTGTGGCCAAACATATCCTGAACGATAATAATTAAGAGTCCATGGAATACTTGTTAGTTGAACAATAAAATTGATCAATAAAAGAAGAACAATAACATGATTATGAAGAGCTTGACGCAATGTCCCATGGACAATAAAATTATAGAAAATAAACAATGAACAGATGACCGATGGAATGTACACGAGAAGAATAATCCAAAAACGAATTAAACGAGGAATGGCAATTTCAGAAGGTAATACCGTTGTATCCTCGTAAGAACTGTTGTCATCACGTGACATATTTTGATATAAATATTCAATCACAATGAAGAAGAAAAGTAGACCCGAACTTTGTGTGTCAAATGCAAATGAAAGAAAAGTACTATTGACAAGTAATACTCTTTTTTTTTTCTGTTCTTATTATATGTTCGCAACTTTTTTTTCAACTCAGGAGGTTTGATAGAATCTTAAGGAACCTGTGGATTATTTTATGCGAGAATAAATATTCTGAATCAGTTGTTAATATATATTCAATACACAAAATAATAATTTTAGTCTTATCATGATGATAATATCAAAGAACAGTATCATCCCAGACATTTGTACTCTCTTTTTTTGTTAAATGTAGGTTCATTAAATATCAATTTCATATAGACAAGTACTACACAATATGTGGTCCAGAAAAAATACAGACATCAAAGATTTTGATTATCTCTGATTGTATAACATATTAATGTCGTTTCATTCAAGGAATGAAAGACAGGTATAATATCGAGATTAGTAAACATACAAATATTCTTCATACAAAATATTTTAATGTTTCAGATAATTAGCGATACATTCATGCACGTCTATAGGAGAAATTATTTTGTGTAGATTTTTCTAATTTTTCTTTTCACAGTTAACTATAGTTGAGTAATAGTTTCCTTAGATTATAATAATAGAGATGTATGACTTTTGTTTTCAACATTTGATCAGAGTCAATAATATCTAAAACCATTATTAACAATGAAGATAATATTACATAAACCCATGAACACAGATGAGTACAGTAAAACAAAAGTGATGTCATTTTAAACTTTTTTCGCGAATGAGCAAAATAGATGCAAATTTTTTTTTTGTTGCCTCAGTTTTACGATTGTTTAATTGTCTTTAGAAAAATATACATTAATATTATCAAATCAGAAGTAAAATGATAAGCCATGTAACCTAAGAAATAATGTTGCAAACATATATACGTATATATTATCTAATAAAAAAAAATGATTAATTTGAAGATTGAAACAACTGAAATAAAATGCATTAAATGATAATTGAATGTTTTCTTTTTTTTTATTCGATATTAGTCAATGTAGTACTTGGTTTGACCATGCTGTCTATCTGTAAGTATAGAGAACAATCTATCATAGGAGTGAGGATGGAAGAAGATGGGAAAATTCGATACAAAACTACACTTACATTCCAGTATCTGTGCTTCTGAGAAAATCATGTCTGCTTGATAAGTTCCTTGAATCTATCAAACTTGACTTGTCGATATGAGATTACAAAAGAGAAATAGATTGAACAAGTGTAAAGAATTTTTTCAGATTTGTTTCTCACCTATTGTATATCTTCAAAACTTCAGTTTAAAGTAATATGAACTACCTAGCAGAATGTGAGATGTGGGTGTGTATATACTCTAAATTGTAATTAATTAGGAGAAGCGCATTCTAATAGACAAAAGAAGTGAATTCATTTGAATCTTTTCATTTTAGCTAAGAATCCAACTAAAAATCTGTTTTAAATGCTATCCAATTCATACGATGAAGAGTATTGTGTAAAATAATTCAAAATTTCTCGAACTGTTTCGATCGATCTGTTTACGAAGCGCAACGAATAATATTAGTTATTGTTAATGTTTGTATTTCTATCAGAATACAATTTTCGAATTGAACTAATTCCACAAGATACAAATTAGAAATAAATAATGACAACGGTAAATATTTATGTGTAACAATTCGTAATAGACGAAAAAGTACAAGACAATTCCATTTATGATTATCAAGCGTCCATGCATACTTGTTGATCTCTCGGCGATCTGTATTGACAAATTTATAGAAGAGATTTTGAAGACAATGATCACTTATTTGTGAATGTTGAAGTAGGAGTGCATCAAGACGAAAAAGTTTGTTCTGAATTGACATAATTCCATCTACATTCTGTTTTAATAAAAATAATTTCTTTTCGTTCTTAAGTCCAATGAAAAACATGGACTAAACAGATTGACGCAGAATAAAGTTTTATATTTCCTTCATCATTTTCAATCGAAGTGTTGTGAAACCTTTCATATACTTATTCAAGCTATTTCAGATTATTTCTTTCTATTGTTCGTCTATGAGATCAGTTCCATTAAAAGAACGTTCATCCATATTCGTATACTGACCAGTTTCATACTTCATTGAATATTGTCTTTGTATTTCAAAAATAGGATGCGAATACAAATATATTGG